ACTGTTTACATGCACATACTGTATAATATGAGAATACAGTGTTTGACCTCAAACTGTGTTTTCTTGTCATGCCAAGTAACAAATCACAGACCTGCTGCACATGTAGACATGTGAAATTGAAATACGCATGGAAAAAATGATTTAAAATATTTAATCCATGTGCCTGAGTGAATCATAAACAAAAGGATTAAGCTAACCTTGTTGAGAAAATACAATTTCATTAATGGAGGCTGGCTCAGACAGCAGCCAAGCTAGTCACTTGTAAAATTAACCCAAGCTAAGAAATCGTTACACATCATCAGCTCTCTATTTCTCTTTATTAACAGGCGAAAAATGGATGGGCAGTTTCACATTTAAAAGTCATGTTACCAGATCGGGGATCTATTGTATGTGACATAACAATTTAGAGCAATTTAGACTCCTTTTTCTTTGAGGAATCTGTGGTGCCCATTGTCCACTTGTCATTGTGACAGAGTTTAAAATATTTAATACAAAATACATTTTCTCAAAGACTCAGCTCAGTTTCACTTAGTACTTATTACAATGTAAATTAATTGTTTATTAAATAAATTAAACTCAATTATACTATTTTTTTTTTGTCTCTGGCTGGCAGCTTAAGATTTGATTTTATTACACCATTACATTGAATTAGTTATTACTGATATTAATATTTACATTTACATTTAGTCAATTAGCAGACGCTTTTATCCAAAGCGACTTACAAATGAGGCAATAGAAGCAATCAAACCAGCAAAAGAGCAATATTATGTTAGTTCTGTGACTAGTCCCAGTTAGTCTAATGCAGTACATATAGCAAGGTGTTTTTTTTTTTTGTAATAATAACAAATAAAAAGAAAACAAGTAAACATAATAGAAAAAGAATAGAGATAGAGGATCAATTTTATTTTTAAATAAATAAAAAGAACACAAGCAGATCGAATAGAGTGCTTATGTTAGAGGGTCAAGTTTTTTAATTATAAATAAAAGAAAACAAGTAGGTAGAATAGAAACAGAATAGAGAGTGCTAGTGTTAGTGGCTTAAGGTGTTTTATATATATATTATAAAAGAAAACAAGTAGATAGAATAGAAATAGAATAGAGAGAGTTAGTTTTAGAGGATCATTTTTTATAATAAATAAAAAGAAAACGTAGTTAGAATGGAAATAGAATAATGAAACTGTTAGAGGGTCAAGTTTTTTTAATAAATAAAAAGAAATCAAGTAGATAGATTAGAAATAGAATAGAGAGTGCTAGTGTTAGAGGGTCAAGTGTAGATGGAAGAGAGATGTGTTTTTAGCTGTTTCTTGAAGAATCAAGTTGAGCATATAACTGAAATTATTGCGTATCCTTTTTTTTCCTCCATTCACATTTGTTTCTCCCTGCTGAGAATGAATGGACAGTGTTATTATTAACTAAAACTATTAAAAATTATTTTTGGTAATTGAATAAAGCTAAAATAAAATATAAATATTGGATGAAGAAAGACAAAAAACCTAAAAGAAACCTAGAAATGTTAACATAAATATTAATTTGAGATACTAAAACTGAAATAAAATAAAATTAAAGCTACATATAAAACTGAAACAATTCAATAATAAAAATGACAAAATCACTTAGAATTTCTAAATTGCAAATTAAAAGGAAAACTGAAAATATAAACAAAAGCTAATTCAAAACATTAACAAATACTATAAAAGTATATAGATAGTATTTAAACAATCCACTAACAGTGTTTATTTATGGAATAATTAATTATTGATATCCAGGTTTTTACTGTCTTTTTTTTTAAGGTCAGATCAAATTACTACAAAAGTCATGTAGGCAATATGCATATATCCCCTTTCATTCCACAATATAGTTAATATGACTTTAGCGCTTTAAATGACTGAGAACACAGCGCTCTCTAAAGAGCAATGACGCACACATCAGTAATCCAGATTACACTATGTCCATAATCCTTTAAAATACAATTTCTTAAAAAAAAACACCAAAAATGTTTTTTTTTTTTTTTACTTTTGTATGTCTAATTGTCCAAACATTTATTTCATGTTTATGAACACACAGTTGCAAAAATCCCCAATATCTCAATATGTTTGGTGCTAAATGGAGCTCGCTTTCATAATTTTTCCACTGGTGTTGTGTTGACTATCGCTCGTTGTGAAAACGCTGCCAGCATGAACTGCCAGTTCTGTTGTTATGACAGACTGCTTCCCATTTACATTTGCGTAATGATTGCGTAATCTGCTTCAAATGTTGTTTAATCCAAAAAAAAATTACATGACTTCTGGAAGCCATTTTGACCTTTCACTCTGCTCTTGAACCTTTGGACATCTGATCGTAAGCTTGTGACTGATTACTCTGGATTGCAAGGCAGCGGATCAGACACTCTCGATGTCAGTACAATGTGTTACATGTTATGAACTGACTACATATCAAAGAACCGTTTGTATCTCATAGCGACATCACATGTGTGATTTATTATTTCACTTGTTTGGACCTCAAAGCAAATCCACTTGGATTTCACAAAGCTGTGGGCCATTCGTGTTAATATACAGAAGATATTTTGAAGAGTCTTTCCTTTTTGTTTGGTACAAGTATTTGAAAATAGATTTCAAAAGTTTGGACAAAGAAATTCCATATTTATGCCAGTTATGCATTGGTTTACCTCTGTAAAACCACTGTAAATACCAGTGGTATGTTTCAAAATTGCTAATGAGTTTTGTGACTTGGCTGCCCTCCACAAATTTGCCACATTTTTTGATGACATCTTGAATGAAGATTTAGGGTATTTAAAAAAAATATTCTTTTATTTTTATAAGCATTCTTTCCATGCACCAATATCTTTTTAGTGGTATGCAAATAAGTGGCCAAAATTAATCGTTTGTCAAGTATGCTTTTAGTTTGTTTGTTCTTAGTTTGAATTGTTGTGTGGATTTCTGAATGCAGGATCATTAAAATTAAAGAAATAAGCAGTCGTATGTAAGTAATGTAATATAAATATCAATATATGCAGAAGCTAAAGCCATCTCTTATGTCAGCAGTGATTTGTGACCTCAAAGAAAGAAGGGAAAAATACAGTAATGGGGCAATATATAAAATACAAATTAAGAAAAAGTGAAGGAAGATGTAAACCATCTTGGGAAAATCGAGTAAGTTACTTTTAAGTACAAATGTAAAAATAATTGAATTTAAAAAAAATGCATAAAGATGCTGAGCAGTGTCAGATTTGCTTTTTGGGAAGTTTGGGAATGAACATCTTCGCAGTTCTCCAGTTCACTAAAATGTTCAGTGGTCCAAAGAACTCTATTAAGACATAATAAAGTAGCCACCAATGTTTATTTCACTGTTGTGCATCTTCTCTGAGATATACAGATATCAGATGTTGCTGACAAGACATCCACTGAACATCATTCTCAGGTTAATGAAAGTGCACTTGAGGAAGTCAAGCTTAAAGTGGACACAAGAGCTTTTAAAGACTAATTAGGTTGCAGCATTACAGTGACACTTGAACCACTGCAGAGACATTATGTGTCAGGCTACACAGTTGTACATATCTATCATGTTCATTAGCATGTCACATACACAAACATTGTGGGACAGAAAAGTATATTTTTCATATGCATCCTTATGTTTAATAGTTGATACTACTGTATATTGTCAGATATTTCTGAAAATTCCATTTATATATTTTCTCTGTATTCTATCTGTTTACTTATATTTGTTCTACTTCTATCATCAACTAAAACTCAGTAGTTAACTTGTTTTGCACTTCATTATGTCAGCATATTATATAATTTTTATTGTGTATTTATTAAGATGTTAAATAAGTATTGAGTATTTGTTTTTTAGTACAAATGTGTAAAAAGAGTGCCCTTTTGTCTGTTTGTCTTTGCATGCATTGTAGCCTGTTATAAAATTTAATTCTGAAAAAAAAGCTAGAAATACGCACATTTTATGCAATTTCTAGCAAAGTTACTTGGCATTTTGCTACTTTGGCTTGTGATATTCAGCCTCTTTATTGAACATTACCATCTATGTATGTGTGAAACTAAAATTAAATTAAAAACATGAAACACATTTGTATGTTACCTGACAAAATGTTTTTTCCTTACAGTGTACAAAATAGCAACATAAAAATGATTTGGGATTCATTTTGTATTTTTCAGATGCCAGAATGATTCATGTTAAAACAGAGACAGAATCTGCAGAGGGAAAACGAGACCACCAGTCTGAACATTTCCAATCGCAGTGAGTCTCGTTCCTTTTGACTAATCTTGTGCCCTGGGGAATGTGTTTTCATGAAAAGCACCGTTGTTTCTGGGATTAGAAAATGTTGCTTGCCTAATTCTGTCTCATAAGCTTGATGTAGACCTTTATCTCATAGCAAATGATTTCCCTATGTGCAAAATAATGTACATTTTATTTCCTGGGTGTGCCAAATTGTACATTCTGGTTAACATCAAATAAATTAATATAATGTAGAGACGGTAAAAAGTATCGCACTCCTAAAGCTGGCAGTAAATTAAGTTGTTTATTTTTTGTAGCAGCCACATTTTCACTAATTGTGACATTTAAAAGCCAGTTTTAATGTACAGTGTAATGGCACTTATATGAAATAAAATATCTTGAAAGTTCACCCACAACCTCAAAATATAGGTTATATGCAGTGGTGGAAAGAGTACTGAAAAAATATACTCAACCTTAACATATTAAGTTAGAGGAATATGCGACTGAATTGATGCTTGAAGCATACACTTCCAGCAGCCATGATAAACAGTTGGCGGTTAAAGTTTTCTATGCACAATTTGATTTGACGAAAGTCACGAGACCTATTACTCTCTATCCAATCACGTTGATGGATAAAAATTAAATTAAAATAAGCATGTAACGAAACGGAGGAAAATAGCGGAGTAAAAGTACCGATACATCACTTAAAATGTACTCAAGTAAAAGCAAAAGTACACAATTTTTAAACTACTCAAAAAAGTACAATTACTGATAAAAACTACTTAATTACTGTAACGTGAGTATTTGTAATTCGTTACTTCACACCCCTGGTTAATGTTTGATTGTGTTTACTTTCAGAACTGCATATATGGAATCAGCTTAACCCTTATTAAATGATGGCCACAAATTCTCTTCTTAAATGTTCTCTGCAATGATACGGATGAAATTGGACCCCGTTCTGTAACATTTCCATTAGGAGCAGCTTATGTGCTTTGTCAAAGTATCAGTTTAGAAATTGTATTACTTGCTGAAATCTTCTATATTAAATATAAAAGACCAAACTACCACAAACACAGACTCCACACTCATGTCGACAAACAGTCCACAAAAATACAGCAAGGATGACATAAGCACACAATTCCAATAAGCAAGTGTCGTACCTGTTAGAAACTACCAGGACATTAACTGTTATCACATTCTTAGTTTATTTGGTCTTGTTCTCAACAGCAGAAGTCTCAATCTTTTGGCCAGTGAGCAACTGCCAGATTCCTCCTCTGTAGTTCTCATTTCCAAGGGAGTAAACAAAGACGTTGAAAGTAGGTGATGTCTTAGCCAAAATGGGTGCAATCTGTAAGAATATGTTCAGAACAGATTCATTTTATGCACACAGTATTGAATAAATAGTTTAACAGAAATTTTATGCATCAGTTACTGTTTACACTAGTCTCCAAATTTATTTGATCAAAAATCCAGTAAAATTTAAAACAACTAGTTTCTCTTTGAATTTGTTTTAAAATGTAATGTATTCGTGTAATGACGAAGCTGAATTTTCTTCAGTCAATACTCCAGTCTTCAGTGTCACACAGAAATCATTCATGTTGATTGGTGCTCAAGTAACAGAAAGAAAAAAAAACGTGATGTGCTGCTTAATATTTTTGTGTTATACAAGATTCTTTAATATATATATATATATATATATATACACACACACAGTTGGGTCCATATATATTTGGACACAGGCACAATTTTTATTATTTTAACTGCTGACCAAAACATATTCAAGTTACAGTTGTATCATGAATCTGGGTTTAAGTGCACACTCTGAGCTTTAATTTGAGGGTATTCTCATCAAAATTGAGGAAAGGTTAAGGAATTACAACGGACCATAAGTAATTGGACAGCTGACTCAAAAGCTTTTTCATGGACAGGCGTGGGCTATTTCTCTGTTATTTCTACATCAATTAAGCAGGTAAATGGTCTGGAGTTGATTGTGCCATTTGCTGCTGTGAATCATGTGGTCATAGGAGCTCTCCATGCAAGTGAAACAGACAATTGTTAGGCTTCAAAAACAAAACAAATCTATCCGAGAGATAGCAGGGACATTCTGAGTTCAGCAAGTGAAATGCATGCTCAATCGGGTTGAAATCAGGAGAAACTAAAGGCAGAAAGACCCACAAACAAACAACAACTTTATTTATGATTACATTTATTTGTCCAATTACATTTGAGCCCCTGAAAATGGGGGGACTGTGTATAAAAAATGGTTGTAATTTCTAAGCATTTTATGTTTTATTTTTTTCAACCCCTTGAATTAAAGCTTAAAGTCTGCACTTCAATTTCATCTTGTTTTATTTTTAATTCTGTTCTGGTGGCATACAGAGCCAAAATCATGAAAATTGTGTCAGTGTCCAAATATATATGGACCTAATTGTTTATATAAAATCAGTGTAAGAATTGGATGTCACGTATTAATTTCATTCAAAAAAAAAAAAAGAAAGAAAAATGAGTGACTGAATGGTAGTATGTTTTTATTTAGGGAAGTCATGGCCTAATGGTTAGAGAGTCGGACTCGTAACCCAAAAGTTGCGGGTTCGAGTCTCGTACCGGCAGGGATTGTAGGTGGGGGGAGTGAATGTACAGCGCTCGCTTCCACCTTCAATACCACGACTGAGGTGCCCTTGAGCAAGGCACCGAACCCCTTACTGCTCCCTGGGCGCCGCAGCAGAAATGGCTGCCCACTGCTCCGGGTGTGTGTTCACGGTGTGTGTGTATTCACTGCTGTGTGTGTGTGCACTTTGGATGGGATAAATGCAGAGCACTAATTCCGAGTATGGGTCACCATACTTGGCCACACGTCACGTCACTTCACTTTATTTGAGGTTTACTGTAACCTTTATAACTTTTTATTTTCTTCTGTGGAACACAAAAGAAAATTTGATAAATCTATCAGGTTTTTTTTTTCCAATGTTGTTTTGGAACCCACTGACTTTCATAGTATACACAAAACCAAACTTTACAGTATCTTCTTTTGTGTTCTACAAGAAGACAAAAAGGTAGGTAAATGATTCATGTTGGGATGAACTATCTTTCTGTGGGTGCCTGCTGTGCTTCAAACGTGATTTCCTTACCATTCTCAGTTTAGGAGAGACAAGGGTTGCGTTCTCCACAGCAGCATAGTAAGCCAGGATACCATAGGGGCCCCAGCAAAACAGCATGGTCTTCAGAGGAGTGCCACAGTTGAACTGCACATAGAGAGCAAGCAGGAGATTTAGACTTAGTTGGATTTCTAAGTCACATGATGCAGGTTTAACTTTGATGTAACATATACACCATTAAACATTCTACTGTTCTGATGAGCAAACACACACAAAGCACACACACACACACACACACACACACAAACACACACACACACACACAAAGAGTTAATCAGAACAAATGTCATAAGCTCAATTAGGCATGAAGGCTCAACAAAGACATAATAAAATGACCTACATACTACAGGCTGTAGTACTTTTATGTGTACTACTGAGAAAAACAAAACAAAACAAACAAAGTGATTCTGTGCTATTATTACTATTATTATATTTCAGCTTTATTCCATTTAACAAAATGTTTTTAATAGTTTTAGTTTCAGTTAAGGATAATAACCCTGTTCTGTGGTTGTCTTAACTGTCTGTAAGGAAATCATCTTCCTTTTCAATCACTTTGGTATTGGTGTGCATGCAATTTTTTTGTGTTACATAATAGTTCTGTCCTAGAGAAGAGTTCAGTAGCTGTTGCAGAGATGCCTTTGTGCTCCCAGGCAAAACGTTTCTTTGACCTACTCAAACCCTGTGAATAACAGTGTTATGCAATGTGAGGGGAAATGTATACTCTGTTCTTTTCATGCACCCTTTGGTCTCACATGTCAAATTCTAATATGGTACAGGGGATACTTTACCTTGGCTTGGCCAGTCTTCTTGAATTTCCTATCAATGGACTGATAGGAAGACATCACAACAAACATCTGAATGCCCATGTTGAAGATGGACATGGGGATCAAGTAAGACACATAGTTCCTGTGTAAAAGGGCAGACACAATTACATTATAGGTCTTATTTCACAGTTAACAGATTTACAAGGAAATGAGAGTCATGTGACCTCTCAAGACCCTAATATTGCTTTTTATGTGGGTCAGAACGCACATTTGAATATATGGGTTAAAATGTGACTGAAGCGGACACTGGTGAGCAATGTCTTATGTTATAATCATACAAAATGACGTGAATTATGAATGTAGTAATTAACTGTGCATCTTACCTGTCACCCTTGCTGTAGTCCAGTGTGCAGCAGGTCCTCAGGGGCTCGTAGTCATACTCTCCCCAGCCAATCAGAGGCATGGCGGCCCAGAAGGCAGTGAAGAGCCAGATGAAGATAACCAGGGTGATGGCACTGCTCCACTGCAGCTTTGTCCCTAATAACACAAGGTATTACTACAATAATACAAGTTATACTGTTTACTACATTGAAGTTTACTAAATAAATACAACAGTGGTACTGGTATCATAACAGCATTTACAGCTAATTATTAGCTTACAATCTTTAGACATTCATGTTCATACATATGCATAAGAACAAAAGAAAAAGACTAAATGTATTTATTGCTTAAATAAGTAATAGGAATATTTTATGAACCAAAATTAGAAGGGCATAGTAGGCACTGAGCATCTTCAAGAAAGAGAGAGTCATGCAAGCGTTCTTAATGTTTTTGAGTCTCTTATACTCACCAAGGCTGAATTTAATTAATATTCTGAAATATTCAAATTTTAAATAACTGTTTTTTTTTTAATTTTAATATATTTTAAAATGTCATTTATTCCTGTGATCTACTTCGTCTCTTTTTCTGAGTGGATTTAGGCCCCGGAATTTCCTGGGCTTCAATCTTCTGCTGTATCTCTGTTGATACCTGTATGGTTGAGCTTGGTAGTGCTCCCTCTTTTCCGAGGGGTTTCTATGAGCACGCCGCTCCCTCCTGAGCATGGTTGCTGTGGCTTTAGTAACGGTATTTCTAAATCCACATCTATGGTAAGTGCTCACGCTAGTTCTTTGGGCACTTTGGTTCTGGCCCCGGTTTTACCTTGGGCCCCACTCTCCGTGTACACACTTTGTAGACAGGGTGTTGCTACTAGTCCCCTGGGTATCTTATACTCTCAGAGTGGGAAGTAGTCCCTGTGTTACAAGCCAGGATATGGGGTTTTGCCAGCCCTGGTTCTTGGCTGTATCCCCTTAAAGGAATCCTTTCTTTATTATTCCAAGCCTTGAGCTTTGCCCTGGGCTCGGGTTTTTCATAAACCAGCCCTCGCAGGTAAGTTTTTTGGCACAGCTCGGGCCTTTTTTGGCCGTAGGGGGTCATATCACTAACAGCCGTCAGAAATATCCTAGGGGCAGCTCCTCTGATTTGGTTGAGTTGGTACTTAGTGCTCGTCTCAGTATTGGCATGCACTCCCCTCAGCATGGTGGCATGGGTATACCGTTCCCCATAGCGACCCCTAGAGGACGCAGTTCGAAGTTCCCTCGGAAGGGAACGTCTCAGGTTACATATGTAACCATGGTTCCCTGAGAAGGGAACGAGACACTGCGTCCTCTAATCTCCTTCCCATGCTTCGGACGTAAGCTTCAGGCAAAGAAGCAGATGACGTGTTCTCCTGGCGCCCTTTTATACTGTGGTCGCGCCGGTTATGACGTCATAGACTGTCGACTGCCAATAGCATTGGTGCGTTTACATGTATGCTTCAGACACCGGTCACGCTGGAGGCGTTCTCCATAGTGACCCCTAGAGGACGCAGTGTCTCGTTCCCTTCTCAGGGAACCATGGTTACATACGTAACCTGAGACGTTCTTGTAGTTCTTATATGTAATATTTACAAATGCCTCTTCCTACTTTTAAAACCTATATTTTTAATATTAGTGTAATATTCTGATATGGTGCTCAAAAAAAATTTGCTGAATAAAAGTATTAATTTATTTTAAAAAATCTTTAGTGTCAAAGTTTTGAATGGTTGTGTATGTTTTTGTAATTTACATTTACACACCATAACATATTAGCATGCTTTGTGTTCACATTTAAAATGGCTATTCACTGAGATTCTGAAAAGAATGGCCTTTGGTGAAGCCTATGTGCACTATAAGTGCCTTTAGCAGGTGGTCTTGGCAACATGGGTGGGCTGAACTTGAACAAAGCATGTCAAATATCCTTCTGATGTGGTAAGAAGCATCTCATCCGTTCTTTTAACTTTTGTTACTCACTTGTGCAGTACTGGTGGTATCTGTCCCAAGCAACGGCTGCAATAAAATGGATGCTGGCAAGAGCAGTCATAAAGCCCTGGAATCCATGGGTTTGGCATCCGTCTGATCCATAAGGCCAGTATCTGGAGTTTCAAGAAGATAAAGTATTTAAAAAGATAAAAGTTTGCTGGTTGATGTTAATAGCTTATGTTGTTTATCTGTATTAACAGTTTTAAATTAATAGTCATGTGTTATGTATTTTTCTCAATGACAGATTTTTCTAACTTGTTTCCTCTATCTTGAATATTTGATCACATCATTGCTTGTATCAGTAAAAATTGAAATCTAACATATTGGTGTTTTGGAACATGGTAGCTGGTTTCTGGCCCAAACGGCTCATTAGCCGGCTACAGTTTTCCAAAAAAAACAGCTGATTTTTTGCACTAGCTAATGACCAACTGTTGGAAACCAATTACCATGCTGGATATTCCAACAATGAATTCCTGCTTACAATCATCAATCAATCAATAAATAATAGTTTCCCAGCCTGGCCAACCTGGTGTTGCCAGAAAGGGCAGATGAAAATGCCCAAATCTTCTCTAAAACCAGCCAACAAACCAGATTGTCCAGACCAGGGAGACCAGCTAAAACCAGAAAATCACCTTAGGCTGGATTATGCTATTTACTTTGGCAGGGCTGTACGGTGGGAGAGAGCTCAACGCACTGCAATTTAAGAAAACACATGCAAATTCAGCCGGGTCCGTCACTTTTTTGGGTCCCCTTGAAACATTTCCGTTGTGGTCCGTGCTACTTGCAGCGCGTTTCTTCATTTGCATGTGTTGTGAGGATTTGCAGCGCGTGTGTTGTCAAACTGATGAAGATGTTTTCTTAATTTGCTGGTGTTTTTTCAATTTGCATGTGTTTTCTTAAGTTACAGCGCGTTGAGCTCTCTCGGCCACCGTAGGGATGTGATTAAAAGACGCATTTCGTCACACAGACAGTTAAAAATATCATGCAACCCCAACTATCTCTCTAACGTAACAGCTGCACTTCAGTCATTCATTACGAAAAAAGGCCCCTCTTAAGCAGTATTACATCACAGCTGTATTTACACACTACACCCGTGACGCAGCGTCGCCTCTAGGGGCTCGGTCAACAACATCATCAACACAAACGTGCGCGTGCTCACCTCAGAAAACTGGAGAAGGCAGCAACTGTGGCGTTCATAGAAATACCCATATCTGCCATGGCCAGACTGAACACGAGAAAATTACTTGGGGTCCGTAATTCTCTTATTTTAAGAAAAGCAACAACGGTGACAGCGTTCAGGAAGAACCCGAGGAGACCTTCAGAGGACACAGAAAACGTGTGAACATTCAGAGCTTCTCGAGACCCCAAAAACAACGCGGTTACACAACAGTAACATACATTCATTGGCAGTCTTCAGATAGACAGTTAAATCACCGCTATGTGTTTTACAACCGTTTTGCTATCGTTCCTGGATAAAGCGCATCCTATTGAGGCAATGCATATCCACAAATTAATACACGCGATCTTCTTTTTTTAACCTGAACATGACTCTTACCCTCCACGAGCAGACAAGATCCCAGGGAGAACACATCAAACTCGGAGAATCCCTCCGGTAATGGATACGACGTTACCATTTTGAACGCAATTCTGATACCAAACTATGCAGAACGACAGTCCGCTCGCGCGCGCGATGTGCCTCAGGGTGTTCAATCGAAGCCTTCTTTTAAAGGAGCATTTCACGTGAAAAAGCATGAACGTAATTATGTAAAGCCCTCTCCCTCTGCCTCAATCCGCACAAGAATGTCTTAATGAATATAACAACTCCTACCATTGACCCCTACTACGTATTTACACAGGGCGACTGTAAAGCGCTCATTCAGTTAAACAACAAGCCTTTGTGTGTCGGACGCTTGAGCGCTCTGATGATAAGACCGAGGTGGATGAGAACCAGTCCAATCTGTGCCAATCCAGTGCGTCGTGTTCTGTGTTCTGTCGAGGTGTTGTCGAGCTGTCACTCCTGACACTAACGGACACTGTATACCACACGGTTTGCATAGGGATGATTAGAGAAACTGCATTTACAATGACTTTCCTCAATTGTATGAGACAGACATTGTGGGTTGGAGATAGCGAATAGATCTTCAGACACATTAGAGAGAGAAAATTACACTTGTATTCACAAATAGATTAGTTGTTGTTCTGAGATATAATTTTAGGGACATTTACAAAATTAAGCCTTTACATCCTATACAATCCTAATCGTAAAATGTGTTCAGTGCTGAAATAGAAACATTTGGAATATTTTTAGACAAAATAGCCAATCCGAATTGCATTTAATAAAAGGCCCTTTGTTTCCTGATTGCATTATTCATACATGAGTGAAAGCCAAATGATAAGGTACAAAGAGTAACACTGATACACTAACCTACTTTCATCAGGAATAGATTTAATCTGATCTACAATCAGTGTTTTATCACAAGAAGTCCTGAGTATTTCCACATACAGGGCCTTACATATACAATGTATAATTTGTGAGTGAAACATGAAATGGCAAAATTCAAATTCAGGGCTTATCATACCATACATGTCCCAAACAAAACCCATATTATTCAGTCAAGTATTTCAGTAAAGTTTACGAGGTTATGACATATAATTTACATGTTAAAAATGCCTAGTCATATAACCATACAAAATCCTTTTTTTTTTCACTCAAATTTCCACATACTTCTGTAAAGTAAATGATGAATTTGGTTTTGTAACAAAGCTTTAACAACAACAACAAAAAAAAAGTACATGGTACTGAGCTCACTGCAGCCTTTACTGAATTCTATATACTTTATAACTGTGACGCTCACAAAAAGATCTTTAGGGGAATAATGTGACCTTAGTAGGTTTGTGAGAGAGGTTTAGGAAGTCAGAGGTTAAATTAAATGTTTAGCAGTTTATTTATTATTCTACAAAACATCAGAACTGATATTAGAATAACTTATTGCACACTTTTCAAAACAAACTAATAATTAAAAATGAATTATTTAAAACTATAAATAACACGTTGCAAATTTTCTTTTATTGCCTTAAGCTCATGAGTAGAGAAATTCTGTTTTATATTTACAACTTGGCACTAAAGAACAGATGACCTGAGTCCAAGGTTCAACCCATGTTGTGTTTACAAACCTACAGTAGCACAAGCAAATAGGCTTCTGGCAAAAATAACTCTTGTGGTCCAACAGTTACAGGAACACAGTCTCATTAAACAGAGACACGCCATACCAGTTTTATACCAAGGAAATATTTACATGTAACCCTTTCAGAAAGAAAATGTGTGGAAAATTTTAACTCCTCTGCATTTGGCACTTATTCCAGAAATTCAAGAAAGATTTTAAAATATTTATTATCATTCCTGCACTTTTCTTTTTTTTTTTTTTAACTGTTTTGAGCTCATGATGTTAAGATATTTTGTTAATTTTTTTCTTACATTGGCTTGTATCTGTCTATTAAGAACATAATATTAACAACAATTAATAACATAGTATTTATAAACCCTAACAACAGGCTCTTAGAAAGAGCAAGCTGCCTGTCAGCCAAGGCCTAACAGGATTACATGAAGGAAAATATTTTAAAAATCCTATCTGACATGCCACTCAACCATAGCTGTGCACAAACTTGGATGTCCTTAGTCTGGCAACTCTCATGCTGACATTGCACATTAATAATTACAAGGAAGGATCGATAAACTAATTTTATAGCAGGCAAATATGGAAATATTATTTACAACATAGAAATAAATATTGTTTTATTTTTTTAACAGATGTTGAAACAAAACACTCCCTGGTCTCCCCTTTGTTCAGTGCAAGAATACAGTACCTAGGCGATAGTGACTGGTACAGCCAGAACAGACCAGCGTCCAAAAGTATCGTCAGCTCTTACACAATCTAGAAGTGATGCAACAGATTTCTTAGTTTGGCTGTCAGGTGAGGATGGTTTGAAAGAGAGCTGGATGGGGGATGGGCATTCAACATTATGGCCAATTCAGAAATATTTCCTCCCTATAATTAACAGCTGTATCTCTGTGTAGCCTATCAGATTCCAAGATGCGTCCTCATCTAAATGAACATAACGCGCGTGATTTCGCTAATCCTTATCTGTCCTTTTTATCTGCTGGACTCGTAGCACTCAGATCACTATGGGACTGCGACGATGACATGCTGGTTATTTTCCCCATAATTGCAAGTGGGTGCTTTTTCATTAAAACTACGGTCGGCGGTGTTTTGTTGACATGAGTAGCGAAATGTCTCTTACTGTCCTATTGGGTCTCCTACTGGCATCTGGTGGCTTTCCACTTGTTCGGAGCACCTGTCCTTCCCAATGCAGCTGCTTTTATCATAACCGGAGTGATGGATCAAGAGCCAGGTGAGCCTTGTTTTATTATCTCAACTGTAGCCTATTTAATTCATGCTATGCATTTTTACCCACTTGAAATGTGGTGCACTTGTGCATTATTGATTTTTGCGCATTTCACATTCTGGCTACATAATGTGCGTAATACAGTTTAGGATATATTTACACACTGAAGGTATTTACTTATTCTTATTTTTTAGTATCACTTAGAGTTTTAAAATATGAATATGACATTTAAATTCAAAGATCTTTAATTTTCATTGCTCAATATGGGTACATTTTGACGCAAATAATAACTTTTGATTTGTGATTTTTTTTTTACAAGCATTTGTAGCGTCAGTCAAAGCCCGCTGGTTTTAAAGATCCGTGTGCGCTTGCTTTCAAATCCCTGATTATCGCTCTTTATTCTTGTTTCTAATGCGTTTTGCAGGAGCGTGATTTGCAACGATCGCGAGATTTCCCTGTTGCCCGCCACGTTCCCAGGCGACACCTCGAAACTTCGGATTGAAAAGACTGCCATCAAGCGGATTCCGAGCGAGGCTTTTAGTTACCTCTCTAACTTAGAATTCCTTTGGATGTCTTTTAACGTTTTGTCCTCTCTCAACTCGGACAGTTTTCAGGGTTTGTACAGTTTAGAGGAACTAAGGCTCGATGGAAATTCGCTCACTTCGTTTCCGTGGGAATCCCTCATGGACATGCCCAGTCTGAGGCTACTCGATATACACAACAACCAGCTCTCCTCAGTACCGTCTGAGGCTGCTCCCTAAATAAAAAATGTAACCTACCTGGATTTATCTAGCAATAATCTGCTGACAGTGCCATCTGAGGTCCTCAATACTTGGTTGACTGTCAAACCCATCCAGGGAGCAGAAAGTTCAAAAATGATTCTTGGTAAGTATTTCCTTTGTCTTATTTTCTTAATTTAATATATTGAGGTTATTATTTATTTGATATATTTGTATATTTAATTATTTATATAGATTATATGTCTGTTTTTCTACTTAAAAATGTCCTGTTTAATTCAGTGTTACTTGCCTTTTCTTTGCAATTATTTGTGAAATTTACTAGTAATTTCTGACTGAAAATCGTTTCAAAGTAAATCCTGCACCAATTTTTTTCAGTGTATATATTTTTTATATAAATACATTAAAAAAATTAATAAAATACAAAAAAAAAAGAAAAAAATCCCTTAATTTCTTAAGAAACCTTTTAGAGGAAATTCTCTCAAAATTCGAACTTTTTATTACAATCATAAAGGTTTTCTTAATTTAAGAGTTTTGTTGTAACTTGCCACTGATCATTTGTTTTGCCCCAGGTCTTCATGACAACCCTTGGTTGTGCGATTGTCGATTATACGACCTGGTCCAGTTCCAGAAGTCTCCCAGTCTGTCGGTGGCTTTCATTGACACGAGGCTGAGGTGCGCAGATCCAGAGAGCCTCTCTGGAGTTCTGTTTAGCGATGCTGAGCTCCGGCGCTGCCAGGGGCCTCGTGTCCACACGGCCGTAGCCCGGGTGAGAAGCGCAGTGGGCAACAATGTCTTGCTGCGATGTGGAACCATTGGAGTTCCCATCCCCGAGCTGGCCTGGAGAAGGGCAGATGGGAAGCCACTGAATGGGACAGGTGAGTCAGCACAGTGGCGGGCGGCTAAGCAGCATTAGCCAGAAGTGCTAATGCACAGTGATTACACTGCTGGCGCGGACACAACAATGCACTGTGATTACACAATACTAATTAGTTCTTGCATTTTGAGTGAATGTACTCAAGCGTTCTGCTTTTTTCCTTTAAATTTTGCAGCTCAACTGGAGAATTCGAAGGAGGGAATCGTTTGGTCTATTTTAAGCGTGCCTGCAGTGTCCTATCGTGACACGGGAAAATACATCTGCAAAGCAACAAATTATGCAGGGAGTGCAGAAGCTGTCATTTCTTTGATCATAAGTGACGCACCCAAAGCTGAGAATCTGACTGTGGATCCAAAAACCAAAGTGAAATCCAAAAAGCCGAACCCAATAGTCAAGGCAGCCTATCAAGAAAAACACATCGCCACGTATGTTTCCCCAACTCCCAACAATGCGCTACCACTCGTTGCCACCGTGAGCTACACAGGCCCATATCCAGGTATGGAAAGCGACAATGCCGCTAACAGCCGGACAAATACCCAAACGGCCAGTCCTGACGGGTTCCTAGAGACCAATCTGAGCAACCTGGCCGCGAACACATCCTCTCTGCAGCAAGACCCTGACAGGGTTGTGCGCTCTGTGAAAGTGATTGGCGATACGGACTACACTGTGTGTCTGAACTGGAGGGCACCGACTGCCAAGAACACGACCGCTTTCAGTGTACTCTACGCTGTGTTTGGCGAGCGGGATATGCGCAGAATTAACGTCAGTCCAGGCAACAACCGGATCATCATCGAGGGACTGGTTCCAAAAACCAAATACATCGCCTGCGTGTGCGTCAAGGGGCTGATCCCCAAAAAGGAGCAGTGTGTAATCTTCTCAACAGATGCAGCAGCAAGCGCTAATGGAACCCAAAAGCTCATTAATGTAGTAGTAATCACGGTTGCCTGCGTGATAGCCGTGCCT